GCCTAAGACTGCCCAGTTTAGCAGCCCCTTAGAAGACCTGCAGAATCTAACTGTCCCTAGCTCATACACAGACACACCACACACGTCCACACACTCCTCTATCACTTCCTTGTGCTCTCACACTCTCTCCCTCCCTACCTTCCTGCTGGTCGCCATTTTCTCTATCCGTTTTTATTTTTGTGTAAAGTTTTACTTTCTGTTAAAAAATATCAAGTGCCTTGAATAAAAAAAAACTCTAAGTAAACTGATCTTGTATAGAAAATGCAGATATTTATTAACAAGAGGCATAAGACTAAAAAAAAAATTTAATCTGTAAGAACAATAAATAACGTTCCTGACCCTAAATTAAAATTAGTAAATTAAGAGATAAAGGGAGGGCTAATATCTCTAGTAAAGAAAGCAAGGAGAAGGTGGGAGAAAGAGGAAGGAAGGAAGAAGAGAGAGGAGGAGAAGAAAGAAGGAAGAAGAAAAAAGGGAAGAAAAGGAGAGAGAAAAGAGAGAAAAAGGAGGAGGAAGACGAAAAAGGGCCAATACAGCAAAAACAACAATAACAAACAAACAAAACACACATACACACACACACAAAAAAAAACCACCACACCTGAAATATCAAAAGTAATGCAAATGACCCTCAAATATATGAAAAAATGCTCAACCTAGCTCACAATAAGAGAAATGCAAATTGAAATACACTGAAACACCATTTCTCACCTATGTGGTATATTTTGAACACATGGACAGAAGTTAGATTTCTCAGAATATACCATGTTTGATAGATTTGACTTTGAAACCACATAATTATAAATATTTATATAATTACATACTTTTATATGCACAATTAAATTTTTCAAAAGCAACTCCTAAATATCAAAAGCAAACTGTGTTGTTGAGTTGATGGCATAACCTCACAGAAAGGAATTATTTCAAATGGTTTTGTTTTTTTTTGGAGTTTTTAAGCCTTATAATTTGATAGTAGATTCCTGTTGGCATATATCAAGGAGAAAAGGGCCTCACAAAATCTTAAAACTGTTCCCACTAATCTATGTTGGTGGTAGCATTGGTATCAGTATTCTGTGACTGTTGATGTATTGAGGTTTAAAGCAACTACAAAATTATATTGCTATCATTAAGAACCAGGATTTGGGGCAAGGAAGAAAGGACACACTTAACTTTATAAGGAGATATAGTTAAGTAAAAACCCTTTATTCCTGCATCTGAATTGAAAACATTAGTGTGGACTTATAATATATTTTGTGATATATTTTAATCTTTTAAAAATTTTATTTATTTATATTTTAATCTTTTAAAAATACTTGTATACATATTTCCTAACTTTTGGCCTACTGGAAAGCCGTAGGAAGAATGTAAAGCTTGGGATCAGTAAGCACCACTAATACCAGATGGTTTTCTATAATAACATATTTTTATGTTGTTTTTTGAGCTTCTGTACAACAGACGTGTGAACTGTAAGGTTACTGAGCTGCTCAGATGACTGATTCTTTTAATCTCATTGTGTCTTAAAAATGAGCTTGTCAGAAAGCTGACCACCCAGTAAGTGTATTAATGTACATTGATACTTACCAATATTTCCTTCTCCTCTTGGGCTTTTTCCTTTGTTTCATTCAACTGCTGTTTTAGTTTTTCAATCTGTAGAAGATGAAAATACAGAGTTAGAAAGGTGATGTGAAAGGGCGAGGACTACGCCCTCCATCTTGCCCCATATCCTCCATGTTGGGGCAGCAGCCATGTGCTATCTTCTTCCCGGAAGCCCAAGCCTCTGCTAGCCACGCCCAGGATTTCTTTAAACTAACCAATGACAATCAAGGGAAGTGCACGCCATAGAGATGACCACATCCTGTGTAACGAGACACCGACTTGCGCCTGGCCAATCGGCAGGGCCCACAGTCTCCTCTCCTACCCTGACTCCACCCCCCTATAAAACTCCTCTTCACACCGGGCTAGCTCTCTCTCTGCTTCCTGCCGCTGCGTCGGCGAGGTGGGGGAGCCGAGCTAGCTCGAATAAAGGACTCTCTGCTTTTGCATCGGACTTGGCTGGCTCCCTGATGGTCTAATGGGGATCTTGAAATCTGGGCATAACAGATGAAATTGCTGTGTTCTTCCTTTATTACATAGCCTTGTTTTCACTTATTAAAACCAGTAGGGTTGGAGAGGTTGAGTAAGGAGGGAAGAGGAGAGGGAACATACTTCATACCTTTAATCTGCTATTGCTAGTTTCCCAAACCTGGCTATCATAAGAATTACCTGAGTAACTCTTTTTTTAAAATTGTGGTAAAAGAATACAACATTAAGCCCTGGCTGGGTAGCTCAGCTGGTTAGAGCATTGTCCCAATATGCCAAGGTTGTGGATTTGGTACCCAGTCAGGGCACATAGAAGAATCAATCAATGAATGTATAAATAAGTGGAACAAAAAATTGATGTCTCTCTGTCTCTTTCTCTTTCTCTCTCTCTCAAGTTAATGAATACATGTAAAAAAAAGAGAGTGGTCTAATGGGGATCTTGAAATCTGGGCATAACAGATGAAATTGCTGTGTTCTTCCTTTATTACGTAGCCTTGTTTTCACTTATTAAAACCAGTAGGGTTGGAGAGGTTGAGTAAGGAGGGAAGAGGAGAGGGAACATACTTCATACCTTTAATCTGCTATTGCTAGTTTCCCAAACCTGGCTATCATAAGAATTACCTGAGTAACTCTTTTTTTAAAATTGTGGTAAAAGAATACAACATTAAGCCCTGGCTGGGTAGCTCAGCTGGTTAGAGCATTGTCCCAATATGCCAAGGTTGTGGATTTGGTACCCAGTCAGGGCACATAGAAGAATCAATCAATGAATGTAAAAATAAGTGGAACAAAAAATTGATGTCTCTCTGTCTCTTTATCTTTCTCTCTCTCTCAAGTTAATGAATACATGTTAAAAAAAGAGAGAGAGGAGAGAGAGAGACATTGCCCCACCTGTGTGGCTCAGCGGTTGATTGGTAACCTATGAACCAGGAGGTCATGGTTTGATTCCCAATCAAGGCACATGCCCAGTTTGGGGGCTCAATTCCCAGTAGGGGGCGTGCAGGAGGCAGCCGATCAATGATTCTCTCTCATCACTGATGTTTCTATATCTTTCCTTTCCTCTCTCTCTAAATATCAATAAAAAATTTTTAAAAGAACATTAAATTGACCATGCTAACCATTTTTATTTTTTAAATATGTTTTATTGATTTCAGAAAAGAAATATTAACCATTTTTAAATGTCACTTCAGTAAAGTATATTCACATTGTTGTACAACGAATCTCTGTAACTTACCATCTTGAAAAACTGAAACTCTTTACTCATAAAATACTAATTCCTTTTCCTCCTTTACCCAAAGCCCTGGGCAACCACCTTTCTACTTTCTATTTCTGGATTTTGACTACTTTAGATATTTGATATGAATAAAATCACACAATATTTATCCTTTCATGACTGGCTTATTTCACTGAACATAATGTCCTTGAGGTTTATCCATGTCGTACGTAGCATGTGACAGGATTTCCTTTTTTAAAATATCTTTCCTTTCCTCTCTCTCTAAATATCAATAAAAATTTTTTAAAAGAACATTAATGTCTCCTTTTTCCCCCATTGACCTCTCCCTGGTTGTTCCCACCCCACCTCCAGCACATGCCCTGCCCCCCTACTATCTGTGCCCATGTGTTATGTTTATATGCATGCATGCAAGTCCTTTGTTTGGTCTCTCCTCCTCTACTCCCGTTCCCCTGCCCCCCAGCCCCCGCCTTCCCTCTGAAGTTGGATGGTCTGTTCGATGCTTCTATGTCCTGGGTCTATTTTAGATCATCAGTTTATGTTGTTCATTATATTCCACAAATAAGTGAGATGATGTGATATTTATCTTTCTCCAACTGGATCATTTCACTTAGCATAATGCTCTCCAGGTCTATCCATGCTGTTGCAAATGGTAAGAGTTTCTTCTTTTTTACAGCAGCATAGTATTCCATTGTGTAGATGTACCAGTTTTTTAATCCACTCATCTGCTGATGGGCACTTAGGTTGTTTGGATTTCCTTCTTTTTTAAGGCTGTGTAATAATATTCCATTAAATGTCTGTATATACCATTTTTTTTCCTTTTTTATCCCATCAATGGACATTTGTGTTGCTTCCACCTCTTGGCTACGTGAATAATGTTTGAACAAACATGGGCATGCAAGTATCTCTCCAAGATCCTGCTTTAAATTCTTGTTGCTGGGTCATCTGGCAATTCTATTTTTAATTTTTTGAGGAACCTCCATGCTGTTTTCCATAGTAATTGTTCCAATTTACATTCCCACCAACAGTGCATAAGGGTTCTAATTTTTCTGCTTTCTTTCCAACATTTGTTATTTTCTGTTTTTCTGATAGTAGCTATGGGTATCTCATTGTTTTGATATGCATTTCTCTTATCTGGGTAACTTTTTAAAAATTTCATTTCTCAATTACATTTGACATTCAATATTATTTTGTATTCATTTCAGATGTATACCCCAGTGATTAGACAATCATATACTTACAAAATGGTCCCCTTGGTAGGGGGGGACCCACCTGGCACTGTACAATATTATTACAATATCATTGACTATGTTCCCTATGTTGTACTTTACATCCCTGGGACTATCTTGTGACTGCGGGAAGTCACCACTTTCCCAATACTGTCATAAGAGTACACCAAGGAACACAGAAGGCCATGGACCTTGGGCATTAGCAGGCTGACGCTAAGCACCGATTGTTTGTGTTGAGATAGTGGTGGCTCGAAGCAATTTCCTGAATGAATAGCCTCAAAGTAAATGTTTACTGAAGCTTACTGATATTTACTGATATTTATTGACCTTAGAGACGGTCTGTCTACTACCTGTTTGCCATGCTTTACTGAGAGCAAGATGTGTATCTAAAATTGAATAAAAAGTGGGTAAGGCCAGGTTTCAGTGTGGCTCCCCAAGAGGGAGGTCTCCATCTGGCCCCCCCATGCCTTCTAAATTCATATTTCTTGTATAGTACTTTCATTAGTACTTCGGCCCCTCCTTCAGATCCTGAACCCTAGCCTTGCAGGTTGCGGCATGTGACTAAAAATTTGTATTTCTTAATCCCTTCACCTTTGTCATGCAGTCCCCCAAACCCCCTCCCCTCTGGCAACCATCAGTCTGTTCTCTGTATTTATAAGTCTGTTTCTATTTTGTTCAGTTATTTTGCTCTTTAGATTCCATATATGAGTGAAATCATATGGAATTTATTTTTCTGTCTGACTTATTTCACTTAGCATAATATAATGGGTAACTTTTTTAAAAATATATATTTTATTCATTTTTTACAGAGAGGAAGGGAGAGGGATAGTGAGTTAGAAACATCGATGAGAGAGAAACATCGATCAGCTGCCTCCTGCACGCCCCCTACTGGGGATGTGCCCGCAACCAAGGTACATGCCCTTGACCGAAATCCAACCTGGGACCCTTCAGTCCACAGGCCAATGCTCTATCTACTAAGCCAAACGAGTGAGGGCTATGGGTAACTTTTTAGGAGAAAAATTTCAAGATGAGTACAAAGAGTTCTCATACACTCTTCACCCAATTTTGCCACATTTACTTTCCCTCAGTATACATAGATCTATCTAAATATACAGAGAGATCTATCTAAATATATAATTATATAGCTATAGATATACAGATATTGTTTTTTTGGACCATGTGAGAATATGTTGAAAACATGATGATCCTTTACTCCTAATTAATTATGTATTTCCTAATTTAAAAATGCACTTTTTAAGAAGCATAGTATAATTATCAAAATTGGGAAATTTAACATTGATATAATCTATAATCCAAATTAAATTTTATCACCACTTGTCCCATTAATGTCCTTCATTGCAACTTCTCTTTTTCCAGTCCAGGATATAACTCTTGATTATGTATTATATTTAGTTGTCATGTATCCTAGCCTCCTTTACTCTGGAAAAGTTCCTCAGTCTTTGTCTTTTATGATTTAACATTTTTGAAGGTTACTGGCCAGAGTTAGGGTTGTCTGATGTTTCTTCATGAGTAGATTTAAGTTATGCATTTTTGGAAGGCATACACTGCCAAAGCAATGGTGTATCCTTTCTAGTGCATCACATCATGAGGTGATTGATGTCAACTTTAATCAATTAGTTAAGATTGTGTCTGCCAGGTTTCTCCATTTAAAAGTTAGAATCTCTCTCTCTCTCCTAATTTTTTTTGGAGGGAGGCAACCAAAATTTTTGGTGGCCTTGTTTGGACAACGCTTACAAAAAAAAAAAAGTATGTTTTTCTTTTGTAATTGTTAAGCAATTTGTGGGAAGGTATTTTGAGATTATGCAAATATCCTTCTGCCTATCAAACTATCACCCACTCGTTTTAGCATCCACTGATCATTTCTGACCGAATCAGTTATTACTGTGATGCCAAATGGTGACCGTTCTAACTCCATCATTACTCCTTGGAAATTTAATAATTTACTACATTCTACTATAAGGAAAAGCTTTCCCTTCTCTCTCATTTATAATGTATTTATTTATTAGTAGTATGTGCTCATGGACTTACTCTTTTCAATGAGTTTTAATTTATTAATAATTATTTATTTTGATTTTCCCAGATTTGGCCTTTTGGAGCCCCTTTCAACTAGTTCCTGTGTCTTCTAATTATTTTTACTTTTTTTTCCTTACTAATATTTTTTCCTTTTTATTGAATGTATTGGAGTGACACAGGTTAACAAAATTATACAGGTTCAGGTGCCCAATTCCACAGCACATCATCTGTACTGTGTGTTCACCATCCCAAATTAATATTTTTTACTTACTCTCTGGCACAATAAGATATTCCAGACTCATCTTTTACTTTCCCTGCCCCACTCTTGGAATTAGTCATTTCTCCAAGGATGCTGGTTTTAGTAGGGAACCTAAGTAGTATTTTAAACTAAAAACTCCTTGATTTGGTTATGCAATCAGAGGATCCAGAAGTGAAATGCTGTTGTAAACAATATCTTAGATTAATTTAAGAAAAACCTACAAATTCTAAAAAATAGAGATAGTTCTATACCATGTAGGATGGGTGTGAAATGTTATTTATTTTGTGATTGATTGAACAAAGCATTAAAAACAAAAACCCATTTTTAAGGAAAATTTCCAAATTTTGTTCAAGATATAATTTTTAAAACATTTTCTTTTTTATAAGTACCGCGCACTAACCAATTGCACCACTGGAGCTCCACATTTTCTTTTTTAATTCTTATTGATAGACTTGTGAGATAGAAAGACAGAGAGAGAGGAAACAGGGGGGAGAGAGAGAGAAACATTGATTCATTGGTCCATTTATTTATGCATTCATTATTCTTTGGTTAATTCTTGTATGTACCCTGACTGCGGATAGAACATACAAACTTGGCATATTGGGACAATTCTCTAACCAATTGAGCTGTCCAGCCAGGGCAGAACATTTTATTTTTAATCCTATATAATAAAAGCCTAGGTGGTGCCACACCCTGGTGCAACGCCCTTGAGTGATGCCCTTGTGCGATGCCCTCACAAGATGGCCACCGAAAAAATGGCTTCCGAAAAGATGGCCGCCACAGATGGCTGCCACAAGATGGCCACGTGCACAGCAGAGGTGGGGTCTGGCAGCCGCTCCACATGGTGAGGCCTGGGGGTCCCACGGCTCCACGCGGCACGGAGGAGGCCAGTCCTGGCATCTCCACCGCCTCATGCAGAGGAGGCGGGTCCGGTAGTTGTGGGTGATTGAGCCAGCAGGGGAGGGCAGTTGGGGACGATCGGGCTGTCAGGGGAGCAGTTAGAGGGCAATCAGGCTGGCATGCAGGCGAGCGGTTAGGAGGCAGTGGTCCCGGATTGTGAGAGAGATGCACGAATTTTGTGCACCAGGCCTCTAGTATTTCTATAATTAACATGAAATAAGACTATAACAGTTTAAAGTTTAAGAAAATAATATATTTCTATGATATAGAAGAATGAGTAAAACAATATAGGAGAGCTAGCTAACCAGGATATTTTGAACCTGCTTTACTTCTTTGCAAAATAATTTCTTTGGTTTTAATGAACATCCATAATTGTGAAAAATTATACATTTGCTACAGATAGATGTAGGCCTTTGATATATGGAGACAGATGAAAATAAAAAAATATAAGTGATACTGATAAAGGCAGATCAGTATCAATTAGTTAATGCAGGCCACAAAGTTTCTATGTAATGAGGATTTCTACCCACCTACCATATTATCTTTCTCCTGGTCCTGCTTCTTCAGGTAGCTTAATACGGACATTGTGTCTTTCTCCATTTTATACTGCTGTTTCCTTAAGTCCTCATTAGTTTTCGCAAGTCTCAGGGAAGTATCACGATACTCAATCCTAGAGAGCTCTGTGATTTCCAGCCTGGCCTCCCAAAGGGAGGCATTGGCCTTGGCTCTTTCCACTGCAGTTTCCTCAGTTTTTGTTGACTTCCTACATGGGAAGAGGGCATTGACAACATATAACTAATTATTCTCTACTACATTTCTCTATTATTGTTTTGTTTGATATTGCCTGGCACATATGATCAAGCATTATTAGATGAATTAGTTAAGAATAAATACATATTTACTTGACAAGGGAGTTATCTTAGTAGGTGCCTCTTCCTGGAAGAGGAAAGCTTTGGAGCATAACTCCAAAGGACTAGAAAAACAAAGAGGAAAGGCATAATAAATTAAATTTACTTCATAAAGCTTTCACATCTTTTCACTTACTTATTTGATTCTCTCATATTTGAACTGTCTTTTATTCCGACTTGCTCAGTCTTAGACCCTGGCTCTCTCTACTACAAATCCATTACCTTAGTTCCTTTTCACCATGAAGATACATTCATAATGTAAATGTAACTTTAAGTCCATATTTCTGTAATCTTCCACCTATCCTAATCCCAATTTTCTTTTTGTTCTAGGGTATTTTGTGTGTGTGTTTTGTTTGTTTCTTGGCTAGGCCTTGGACAAATATTCAAGTCACTTGAGCAAGTACTAGTATGTTAAATATTTTATCTGCTAGTTCCACAATGCATCAGGCTTCAAGGATGCCTGACAAACAAAACATAATCATTTGTACAGAGGTAAAGTGGAACTCCTATCTAATAAAATAGTAATATGCAAATTGACCATCTCTCCCACACATAAGATGGCCGCCTCCATGTGGTCAAATATGGCCACCTCCATGTTGTGGGTGATTGAGCCAGCAGGGGAGGCAGTTGTGGGCGATCAGGCCAGCAGGGGAGGGCAGTTGGGAGGGACCAGGCCTGAAAGGGAGGGCAGTTGGGGGCGATCAGGCCTGCAGGGGAAGGGAGTTAGGGGTGACCTAGGCCTGAAGGGGAGGACAGTTGGGGGGAACAAGGCCTGCAGGGGAGAGCAGTTGGGGGGACCAAGCCTGCAGAGGAGGGTGGTTGGGGGTGACCAGACCTGCAGGGAGGACAGTAGGGGGGGGAACAGGCCTGCAGGGGAGGGAAGTTAGGGGTGACCAGGCTGGCCAGGGAGGGCAGTTAGGGGTGACTGGGCCAGCAGGGGAGGGCAGTTGGGGGCGACCAGGCCAGCAGGGGAGGGCAGTTAGGGGCAATCAGACCGGCAGGTGAGCAGTTAGGCGTCAGCTGGGTATATCCTATATAATAAAAGGCTAATATGCAAATCAAATGGCAGAACCACCAGTTGCTATGATGCACACTGACCACCAGAGGGCAGACACTCAATGCAGGTGCTGTCCCCTGGTGGTCAGTGTGCTCCCACAGCGGGAGTGCTGGCCAGCTCACCAATGGGTGCCAGGCACCGGCTCACAGCTGGCAAGCACAGCTGTGGCGGCACAAGCCTCTCCTGCCTCCTGGGCAGCGCTACTGAGCAGCGGTGGTGGCAGGTGCAGTGGGACCGGGAATGCCATAGAGAGTAGAGAACAGTGCAAGCATCTAGCAAATTGTTGGGGAAGGAAAATAAAATTTAAGTAGCTAAGAGTTCTGGCCTGAACTCTCAACCTTTGTATTAGTGAACATGCATCCTAATATATAAAAACCCAGGGTTTGAAAAAACCAAAGGCTCGACCGACCGGAAGTCAGTCCTGCAGTCAGTGCTGGGTTGCCGTGGCTGCAGATCAGGCTCAGAGAGAGGCCTGGAGAGGCAGGGTCTGATCTGCAGCCTCCGTGGAAACTGTTGATCAGCTGTTGCCTCTTTCTCTCAGGCTTCGCCAGCAGCCGTGCCTCTGTTTCTTTCCGGGCCTCTGCAGGGGCTGCTGATCAGCCCCACCTCTCTGATTAGGCGCAGAGATAGGCCCGGAGATGCTGACTATCATAGAAATTGACCAATCAGAACCATCTCTGCATTCCGGGCCTCTGCAGGGGCTGCTGATCAGCCCCACCTGTCTGATTAGGCGCAGAGATAGGCCCGGAAGTGCGAGGAGCCAATGGCTGCCTAGGAGGTGGAGCTTTTGACGCTGACTGGCATGGAAACCGACCAACCAGAACCTAATCTGGGTGAACTGTGAAGGCAGAACCGATGGTGGGGGCTGAGGAGGGTTTTTAAGGACAACAGCTGTTTGGTGTAAGGTGAAAGAAAGCAGTTTAATTTTTTAATGAACAGTTTGGCAGTATAGTGCATATCAGTCTGGCTATCAGTCCAGATATAGGGATTATGTATTTTTGTCTGCCAAGAGCATCTCCTCCTGCAGAAAAGGCTTTACCCCACCCCCCATTTAAGCAACCCTATCTTATATAATCTATCTATACTAATAAAAGGGTAATATGCTAATTAGACCAGGTCAACTGGCCATCTTCCGGACATCTGACTTCCTTCTGGACAAAGCCCTGGTGGTGGGGGCCGAGGCAGAGAGGGCAGTTGGAGGCAAGATCAAGCCGGCAGGGGAGGGCCATTGGGGGTGAGATCAGGCAGGCAGGGGAGGGCAGTTGGGGGTGATCAGGCAGGCAGAGGCAGTTGGGGGCGAGATCATGCCAGCAGGGGAGGGCAGTTAGGGACAATCAGGCAGGCAGGCATAGGCAGTTAGGGGCGATCAGGCACGCATGCAGAGAGATTAGAGGTGATCAGGCAGGCAGGCAGAGGGGTTATGGGCAATCAGGCAGGCAGGCAGAGTGGTTAGGGGTGATCAGGCAGACAGGTGAGCGGTTAGGAGCCAGCGGTCCCGGATTGCAAGAGGGATGTCCAACTGCCGGTTTAGGCCCAATCCCACAGGACATCCCCCGAGGGGTCCCCGATTGGAGAGTGTGCAGGCTGGGCTGAGGGAAACCCTCCCTCCCAGTGCATGAATTTCATGCACCAGGCCACTAGTATTTAGATAATAAAGACTTCAGCTGTATTTGAATTCTAAATATTTTCATACATAAGTATGTGTGGACACTTCTATACTGTCACCCTCCATCCCCACCAACTTTTGGTTCTTGATCCCTTTTCAGTCCCACTCTCACCTTTTATTCTCTACAAATTATGGCCAGCTTCATCTCCAACCCCCACCCTGTTATAGCTATTGAACTCCCTTTCCAGCATGATTTAGACAATAGTGACAGACTGCCTTGTTGCAGTCATCAAATTGCTCCCTGAAGGTATCAAGTCTAACTTGCTCTGAGTTGATGAAAGAAATCAGATAGGATTTCTCATAAAAGGACCACTAATACTGACTGTAAAAACAAAGCAGGGTTTCTCAAACTATGAGTCATGGAAAATCCAAGAAATAAGAGATCTGTTACCCTCAATGTTCCTCTTTTTTTTTCAATCCTCACTGGAGGATATGTTTATTGATTTTAGAGAGAGAGAGAGAGAGAAACATTGATGCGAGAGACGAACCTCATCAGTTGCCTTCTGTATGTGCCATGAATGGGGATCAAATCACCAACCTAGGTATGTGTTCTGACCAGGAATCGAACCCAAAATCTTTTTGGTGTACATGGTGACACTCCAATCAACTGAACCACCTGGCAAGGGCTCAGTGTTCTTCATTGTTGATATGTGTACTGTAGATGCATGGTCAAAAATGGAAAACATATGCTAGTGAGTTCCAAGAATGTGATAAACCCTTGGCACTTTTTATTTTTTTAATTAAATCTTTATTGTTCAGATTATTACAGTTGTTCCTCTTTTTTTCCCCCATAGCTCCCCTCCACCCCGTTCCCAACACACCTTCTGCCCTTTCCCCCGCCACCCACTGTTCTCATCCATAGGTGTACAATTTTTGTCCAGTCTCTTCCCACCCCCCCCCCCCAGAATAGTCAGTCCACACCCTTTCTATGCCCCTGATCCTATTATATTCACCGGTTTATTCTGTTCATCAGATTATTTATTCACTTGATTTTTAGATTCACTTGTTGATAGATGTGTATTTGTTGTTCATAATTTGTATCTTTACCTTTTTCTTCTTCTTCCTCTTCTTAAAGGATACCTTTCAGCATTTCATATAATACTGGTTTGGTGGTGATGAACTCCTTTAGCTTTTCCTTATCTGTGAAGCTCTTTATCTGACCTTCAATTCTGAATGATAGCTTTGCTGGATAAAGTAATCTTGGTTGTAGGTTCTTGCTATTCATCACTTTGAATATTTCTTGCCACTCCCTTCTGGCCTGCAAAGTTTCTGTTGAGAAATCAGCTGACAGTCGTATGGGTACTCCCTTATAGGTAACTGACTTTTTTTCTCTTGCTGCTTTTAAGATTCTCTCTTTGTCTTTTGCTCTTGGCATTTTAATTATGATGTGTCTTGGTGTGGTCCTCTTTGGATTCCTTTTGTTTGGGGTTCTCTGCGCTTCCTGGACTTGGAAGTCTATTTCTTTCACCAGGTAGGGGAAGTTTTCTGTCATTATTTCTTCAAATAGGTTTTCAATATCTTGCCCTCTCTCTTCTTCTGGTACCCCTATAATTCTGATGTTGGTACGCTTGAAGTTGTCCCAGAGGCTCCTTACACTATCTTCGTATTTTTGGATTCTTTTTTCATTTTGCTTTTCCGGTTGGGTGTTTTTTGCTTCTTCGTATTTCAAATCTTTGACTTGATTCTTGCGATCCTCTGGTCTGCTGTTGGGAGTCTGTATAATATTCTTTATTTCAGTCAGTGTATGCTTAATTTCTAGTTGGTCCTTTATCACAACATCGAGGGTCTCACTAGATTTCTTAAGGATCTCAATACATTTATCGGCGGTTTCCATAAAATTCTTGAAAAATCTTAGAACCGTGGTTTTGAACTCTATATCCAGTCGTTTGCTGTCCTCCATTTCTGTCATTTGTGACCTGTTTCTTTGTCTTCGCATTTTGTCTGCTTCCCTGTGTTGGTAGAGTGGTTTTGTGTGCTAGGTGTCCTACAGGGCCCAGTGGCTCAGCCTCCCCAGTTACCTGAGGTGGACACTCTTGGTGCACCCCCTTGTGGGCTTTGTGCACAGTCTTGTTGTAGTTATGCCTTGATTGTTTTAGGTGTCACTGGGAGGAATTGACCTCCAGGCCAATTGGCAGTGAGAATCAGCTGTGTCTGCAGTGGGAGAACTTCTGTGCTGAAGACACCCTTCTGGGGCAAGACTTGCTTCAGTGGGGCTTTGGTGCTCACTGAGTCTGCCCCCTGAGTGTGTTCCTTATGAATCTGAGGAGTTGTAATCTGGGTGGTCCCACTCTGACCACTGGGTACACTGGCTCTTGGATCTAAGGAGGTGCTAATTAAGCCTCTTCCTGAGGTTACCCAGCAGGAGCTATGAAGAGATATGCAGATTCCCCTTCCTTTTTTGGGGGTTTGGGGGTGCCCAGATGAGGCCCAGCTGAGAAGCAATGCAAGCTGCTGTGGGGCCTTGGGCCTTCTCTTGGAAGTTCTGGGTCTGTCTGGCCCAGCTGCAATTTGTTAGGTAGTTGTCAGGTTGTAAAGGACCCGGGCATTCATATGCAAAAGGCTTTGCAGCAGCCTGGATGGGGCGGGGTCTCAGAATCAACAGGGCGGAGCAAGCAGCTATGGCTGATTCCCAG